TGTGTGAGAGAGAGAGAGTGTGTGTGTGTGTGTGTGTGTGTGTGTGAGAGAGTGTGTGTGTGAGAGAGTGTGTCTGTGAGATTGTGTGTGTCTGTGAGAGCGTGTGTGTCTGTGAGAGTGTGTGTGTGAGTGTGTGAGAGAGAGTGTGAGTGTGTGAGAGAGTGTGTGTGAGAGAGTGTGTGTGTGTGTGTGTGGGTGTGAGAGTGAGGGAGTGTGTGAGAGAGAGTGTGTGTGTGAGTGTGTTGGCTGTTTTGTCATTTTGTCTGTTTTGCAGCACAGAGTAAAAGCCCCAACAGACCTGTTCTGTTTTTGTTAAATATAGTGGATTGAAAAAGTACAATATAAAGTAACAGTTTCCCAAAATAAGTGCAGATGCATGAAAAATGTACTTAAGTACAGTAATGAAGTAAAAATACCCTTTATAAAAACACTAATTATTATTATTCATTTAGAAACTACTCAAATATTTAGAGTTTTCATGTTTGAAAATGACCATTCCCAGAATTCCAGTCGATGTTATAATCACTTTATTATTATTTTAGCAGGAGGAAGACTCTTAGTGAGACTCGAGGAGAGCGTCCATCAAACGCTCGATGGTGTCTGTAGAACAGAAATCAGTGAAGACAGCACATGGTGCTCTACAAGCTTAAACTCTGAAACAACGAACACGTGTCTGTATGGAGTGATGGGCAGAAACACAATAATATTGCAGGACTGATGTGGTTCATGCCGACGCCGTCGTCTTCTCTTTGTAGCTGGCCATCATCTTCTTGATCTCGGCGATGGCTAAGCCTGGATTCAAACCCTGCGGGACGAGAAGCGCATCAGAAACACACATCAGCAGCTCAAAGGTCTGGTGACTCTGGTGCGTGCGTCTGACCTTCGGGCAGGTTCTGGTGCAGTTCATGATGGTGTGGCAGCGGTACAGAGAGAAGGGGTCCTGGAGCTTGGAGAGCCTCTCCTCGGTGTAATCATCACGAGAGTCGATCATCCAGCGGTACGCCTGCAGCACAGCACAGAAGAACGTTTCGTGTAATGTAACGTTTGTTAAAATGTTGCTACTTTGTTTCAGAACAGTCAGAGAACATTGAAAAGTAACGTTCCCAGTAATGTTTACAAAATTATCCAATGGAATGTTTCCTAACTACACGACGATCAAATACCACAGCCAATCAGAAGCGTGCGTGGGCGGAGCCTCCCTGGACGGTTCTAATCTAATTCATGAATATTAAACCCTTTTAACATTATTAAACGTACTGAGTGGCTGATAACATCTTTGTTATGGACAACACTTGTTGGTTAGCATGGTTTTATCGTACATCTTTGCTTTATCTTCAAACTATCTGTTGTTGCTTTCAGTATGGCTATAAATGTCACGCAAAATGATATTCAAACTCATATTAGAGACGTTTCGCTTTGAATAAAGCACACTGAGATGATCACAGTCGTGTAGTTTGAATGTTGTTGCTCCAGTCGCGGAAACCGTTTCTAAAATAGAAATATCACGTGTCGCGGCTGGTTAGGACAAAAACTGAATTATGGACTCATTTAGGCAACGGTTTGAAGTTAAAAGCGTCTTAATGCTGGATGTGTCTCCGCTTTCGTCTTCTCCGGATGTGGACTGATGACTGGAGAGCTGTGGATTACTGTGATGTTTCTATCAGCTCTCGTTCTGACGGCACCCATTCACTCACTGCAGGGTTTCATATTTAACGCATATTCTGTGGTGGACAAGGCCTATATGTTATTTTTGCAAAGGTCCTCAAGGCTGTTATACAGTGCTAAGAATATCATTAGAAGAAACACAAAACATATTGCATAATGAAAAAGTGCACTGAGTTCATTCAGTCGTGTTTGACGATCACTAAACAGCTGTCATGAAAACACACTTCCTGTAGGATCAACTTGATTTCATTAAATTCTTAATTTTCTATTTTAAAAAGCTAAATGGGAGCAAAAGTCTGGAGATGCAAATATTTTCCCAAACTCTGCTTTCTTTTTTCCAAACAGTGCGACTCTTCTGACCTGCATGAGGACGGCTGGACCCAGATACTTGTCTCCGTTCCACCAGTAGCTCGGACAGCTGGTGCTGCAGCAGGCACAGAGGATACACTCGTACAGACCGTCCTGACGGAGACACACACACACACACGTTACACACACACACGTTACACACACACACGTTACACACACACACACACACACACACACACACACGTTACACACACACACACACACACGTTACACACACGTTACACACACACACACGTTACACACACACACGTTACACACACACTCACTCTCTCCCTCTCTCTCTCTCTCTCACACACACACACACACACTCACTCACTCTCTCCCTCTCTCTCTCTCTCTCACACACACACACACACACACACTCACTCACTCACTCACTCACACTCTCTCTCTCTCTCTCACACACGTGTCGGTTACTCTACCAGTTTCTGCCGGTCCTCCACGCTCTGCAGGTACTGCTGCTGTCCCTGTCTGGACTCGTCCTTCTTCTTCAGGTACGGCTCGATGGACTTGTACTGAGCGTAGAAGTTGCTCATGTCCTGCAGGAGACAGACAGCGTTCACACTAGCGCTGGGCGATAAATCCATAACGATGTATAGTTGTTCCAGATAAAACCATAACAAGAGTTTGATATAATGGCTACGTGCCAAAAGCGGAAGGAAACAGCGCGACTCGACTGACGCTAGAGGTGAGCAATATTGATAAAAATGATGATATAACGATAACGATAATTAGACGATATTCTGCTGAGTGTGTTATTGTGCTGTTATCTTAACTACCATGAACAGTTACTATGATATACTTCATATTCTGTGTGATGGTTATAGAAATTTATCTTTTCCAATAGGTTTAAATTGATTTGTACCTTTATAAAGCCATTTTTGTGAAAGTTTGCATGATCAGTGATACATTTAATCAGTGAATTAGAAGAATAAGACATTTGGGCTGTTACCAGGCAAATTAAATCCGTTTGAACAGAATTAATTCATCTTTGCAGAAGTTGCATCTGAAGTACACACTGTTTAATGCAGCGCTTTAAATGTGAAATTAAAGCCGCCAGTAGGTGGCAGCAAGTCACTGTTAATAAGTGAGTCACTGTGACTGAACCGAATCATTTAAACGAGTGATTCATTCAGGAACGAATCACCGTCATGTTGCTCAGAGACACAAAACAGAGCTGTGGCTGTGTTTGGAGTTATTTTAGTTGTTGAAATAGTGCAAAAACAGGCAATATGGCGTCTAAAACGTGCTGTAAGTCTCTTAATATTAACTTGTTTATTGAGATGCTGTAAAAAATCAGTATCACATTTGTAATCATGGTAATATTTGGAGAAAAACAGCACTCTGTGTGATGTTGATTAACTTTATGAAATGATATAAATGTACATATTTTGTACTTGAATCTTGTGATCATTGTAAATGTATTTTATTAGATTGAATCAAGCAGCTAAAGTAGAAAAAGTTATGGTGATATCAGTATCACATTTGTAATCATGGTAATATTTGTAGAAAAAACAGCACTCTGTGTGATGTTGATTAACTTTATGAAATGATATAAATGTACATATTTTGTACTTGAATCTTGTGATCATTGTAAATGTATTTTATTAGATTGAATCAAGCAGCTAAAGTAGAAAAAGTTATGGTGATAATTTCTTGTCCTGCGGCTTGGTACTCACCGGCACCAGGTCTTTGACCACATACATGTGCGGCAGCGGGTAGATCTTCGACACCTTGCTGGTGTTAGTGTCGATCTTGTTCAGACACGCCAGAGTGTTTCCACCGTTGATATTCATCGCGCAAGACCCGCAGATTCCTGCAGACAGAACCGGTTCAGAACCGACACCGCAACAGAACCGGCACCGCAGCGGAACCGGCTCAGACCCGACACCGCAACAGAACCAGCACCGCAGCGGAACCGGCTCAGACCCGACACCGCAGCAGAACCGGCTCAGAACCGACACCGCAGCGGAACCGGCTCAGACCCGACACCGCAGCAGAACCGGCTCACACAGAAGCAGGTTTTAATCTCCCCCTCTCTGCAGGAGCGTCTGAAGGTCAGCGTGCTGTCCATCTTGTTCTTAATCTTGATGAGCGCGTCCAGAACCATCGGCCCGCAGGTGTTCAGGTCGATCTCGTACGTCTGCATGCGAGGCTTGTCTCCGGCGCGGTCCGGGTCCCAGCGGTAGATCTGGAAGCTCTTGATTCTGGGCTGAACCGCGGACGCCGTCTGCACGAACCGCACCGCCTGACCAATCAGAACACAGACGCTGACCAATCAGAACACAGACGCTGACCAATCAGAACACAGACGCTGACCTCTAGTGCTCACAGACGGAACTACACCCTGACAGTGACTAAACCACACTCCACACTAATGAAATATTGTGCATGATAGCTGAAATATGAGATGGCACATCCCAGAGAGCCCAGGTAAAGCTCTGGAAAGCATCTGCTGTGTACAAACATCTGACAGACGTCTCCAAGAAGTCAGTTTTACATCATAAACATCTGACAGGAGGCGTCCTGTAGCTGTACAGATGAGCAAACACTCTAAACACGTGTCAGAGATGTGCGTGTGCTGCATTAGTGCGCAAATCATCACTGAACAATACAAAACCATCATAAAGCACAATCTCGTCTGGACTTGGGTTTCTGAAGCAGCAACACACCGCGGACATCATCTCCTCCAACAGCCCACAATGCACCGCGTCTCAAAGAAACACGCGCAGCTGCCTGTTGAGGCGGATAAAGACCTCGAATGCTGTGCACTAGGTAGGGAGCTGCGCTAGGTTTTGAAACGCAGCCCGTGATTATTGCTCGCATTATTAGATGAGTGTCTTTCTTAGTCATTAAGTACATTTAATAATGAATAACAAATGATATAAAAGCATTAGATATCGTACTTTTATTTTGTCCCTCTCGCATGACCCGGAATCTTCACCGGCACAGACCCGACACCGCAGCGGAACCGGCTCAGAACCGACACCGCAGCGGAACCGGCTCACACACAAGCGGGTTTATCATCTCACCCTCTCTGCAGGAGCGTCTGAAGGTCAGTGTGCCGTCCATCTCGTTCTTGATCTTGATGAGCGCGTCCAGAACCATCGGCCCGCAGGTGTTCAGGTCGATCTCGTACGTCTGCATGCGAGGCTTGTCTCCGGCGCGGTCCGGGTCCCAGCGGTAGATCTGGAAGCTCTTGATTCTGGGCTGAACCGCGGACGCCGTCTGCACGAACCGCACCGCCTGACCAATCAGAACACAGACGCTGACCAATCAGAACACAGACGCTGTTTTAGCTGTGCTTTTCAGAACATTACAATCTAAAGTCAGATTACTTTCTCTCAAGTAACTAGTAAAGTAACGGATTACTTTAGTTCAGAAGGAACTATCAGAGTTACTTAGTTTCTCCATGTGTTGAGTGACAGCTCTGGTGTTGCCATGGTGACAGAAATCAGGAGTGAGTGCAGAGTGTTGTGTGTGAACATGATCTTACTGTAGCCCTAGACTCAATATCAACATGTGTTTACTCATCTCACTGCACACAAACACATTCAGTGCTCCTCACAATTAATACAAACAGTCCAATGCAAACTCAGAATATTACACAAAGCTGCAATAATTAAATGTGTTAAATAAGACTAATATCATTTATGTATTTAATCCCATTTTATTAACCAGTGTGTTTGCTGCTGACCTTCGATGATCCAGTTCAGCCGTAATAAGCAGAAATAACACGTTTGTGTTTGATTTGAGTTATTGCTGAATAGTGCTGAACGTTCTTCTGCTGCTCATATTCTTCATGTAGTTAGTTTGAGCGGCGCCCTCTACTGTACAGACCAGACTTTACACTTCCTTCAGCCTGAGGCGCATTCACTTCACTTCTGCTGCCAGAGAGTATTTACATTTCTGAAATAACTTTTTATATTAAAAACAAACAAGCAAGCAAGCCCCGCCCAGATTTAAAGAGTAACGTAACGCATTACTTTCCATAAAAATTAACTAAGTAACATAACTAGTTGATTTTTTAGGGAGTAACGCAACATTGTAACGCATTAGTTTGAAGTAGCTTTCCTCATCACTGCTGGTTATGGTGTGTGTTTTTCGCAGCATTTCCGCGGCAGGAAGAACCGCTGCTACAGTCTGGCGGTGCGTGCCGTGCGCAGGGCGTTCGTCTACGCCAGCAAAGCTCGGAAAGTCAAGCGACACAGCATGAGACAGGTACGACACGGGTCATGTGACCTCACACCTGTCAGTCACGGGCTCTGAGCTCTAACACACATCTGTGTCACAGCTGTGGATCCAGCGCATCGCAGCCGCCAGCAGAGAGCAGCACATGAAGTACCCCGCACTCATACACAACCTGCTGAAGGTGAGGGACCTCACAGCTAGCTCTCACGAGTGTGTGTGAGTGTGTGTGTGTGTGAGTGTGTGAGAGTGAGTGAGTGTGTGTGTGTGTGTGTGTGTG